ATAAAATTAGAAAACGCAATTTGCTCACAATGAAAATAACTATACCAAAAAGCTATTATACAAGCTAATGGGTAGTATTTCAGATTGAAAATTGAAAACTAATATAATTAATTACTTAATAGTGAATTTATATTTGTGGTATATCTCACTAACCAATATTTTACAGATTTTGGCACTGATGTTTACTTGATGCATTATAATTATTCGATCAAATTACAATTTACTATTGAAACAGACCACATTGGCAGTTATAACTAATATTGATCAAACAGAAATTGAATTAAAAAAACAATACTAATTAACTTACCAAATCATTTTGAGTTTGAATTAAATTTAAAACTAATATTAACCAAGAAAAAATTGAATTAGCAAGTTTAAATTAAAAAATAATACTAATTAACTTACCAAATTAAGTGGAAAATCTTTGCCATTTAGCCGAACTAAAGCTCCATTTTGAGTAAGCTTTAAGACACATTCTGCAAATGGAGCGCTACAATTTTTGATTACATCATTTTCTACTTCAAAAATTTGCATTATATGTGCGCGAATAGTTATAGGTTGCGTTAAATTTGGCACTGAAGTGACTTCACGTGTATTCGAGTCAGATGAAATAGAAGAAACATCTTTGATTAATTTACAGAATCTGTCACAGTCATCAGTGGAAGCTACGTTGATGCCATACGTCTCTCCTTCATAATGCCAATACGCAAAACAAGAAGAAACTCGAACAACACGATTTGCTGAAAAATTAATTTAGCACAATTTTGAATTGAATTTATACAAAAAATATATTTGCCTTATCAATTAAAATTTAAATTACTTTACTTGCATTGTTAGAGCCGAAAAATATTACAGAATAAATTTTTTAAGTTTTAATTTTTCACTCAAATTATAAAAATTAAAAAATCTTTACTTATTCAATTAGTTTTTAGCTCTTTATTTATGCTATAATTTACACTAAAATATTTTCAAATTTATCATCACTTATTTAGCATTACTGTGAAGATTATTACTTTCAGCAATAAATTTTACTCATATCTCTTATTTATATCACACGTTTTCTATTGTGATTAAGATTACTAATTTTAAATGTATATAAATTAGCATAATTTATTAGATTTTAATTTATATGCGAAATGCTATCTTCTGAATCATATGCAGACTGCATAATGTATTACCACTTTATTATTGCAATTTTTTATATTTTTTCCTGAACTGATAAATAAATTTCTATAATAGAACTAGATATCAGAACTTTGACCTTTATCAGTCATATTAAAAAATGTGAAATTAATTAGAATTATACCAAAATCTCAAAAAAATGCTATGTTGTCAAATTTGATTTGCTTTTGCAATGTTTGCAATTGACTATTCTATTCATTTAATTTTTCTTTACACAATAAAAATTAAAAAGAATACAAACAAAAATTAGCAATTATAAATTGCGAGGGAACTTTTACAATATAATTTAATTTATTTTTATAAAGCGATTCAATTTGTGTATTTAGTAAAAATTCAAGTTTATCCAAAAAGTTAAGCCTTAGACAAATGAATAAATGCTAAGATTTCAATGTCAAATCTTTTGATCATACATACTAACGAGGGAAATTATACAAATACTTGAAAATTTCCAGTTTGAATTTAATTAAAAATTTCTTTATTTCTTATTTTTATTTTCTTCTTCTAAGCCTAGCTTAATTTTCATTTTCACTTCTTATTTTTCATTTTTTGCGTTATTATTTTCAATAAAATAATAATTAATCGAAGTTCTCCAATGCTTATTTTTTCTAATAAAAGTCGAATTGCTCATGATATAATTAGCAATTAAGGAAAAATATTTGACCTTGTGAACTTTGTTTTATTTTTTTGAGGCAATATATTCTTGATAATATCAGCGTATTTTATTTTAAAAACCAATAAAAAGTAAAAAAAATTATTTTTTATTTATAAACTTACTGAAGATAATAACGCAGCAGTGTATTATAAAAAATAATTCAATTTCTCGTTTTTTAGCACTTATAATTTTGAGTATTTTAGAGAAAAAAGTTTTCGCTACTAACAAATTAAAATTAAAATCATTCGAAAATTTTTGAAGACTTATTGCAAACAAATAATTGTACAGTTTTTTTTTAAGAAAAATACTTTTTTATCCGTAAAAGTTTTTGCTTATTTTTGAAAAGAATTTAATTAAAAATTAAAACTTTTTTTGATCACAAAGTTTAATTTTTTATCATCTCAAAAATTAAAAAAAGGACTACAGTAAACTTTTTAAATTGAAAGGATAGCGAAATTAATCTTAAAAAATATTTTTGAGGATTTTATTTCAACGATTATTAATATTATTCCTACTCGTTTTATTTGTTTTTTGTTTTATGGCTATTTGAAAATTTCATTTTAATCCTTTTTGCTATATTTTTTGTGGCATTTTTATTGTTATAAAAGCAATAAAAAGCAAATATTTGATTTTTTTTAATAAAAAGAATTTTTAACAAATGATAAAAAATACAGTATAAATATCAAAAAATTGACAACTTACATGTGTCTAACATTTGCTCAGAAACAATTCCTAATTCACTTTTTGCAATGAATTGAACTGTTTTGTAAATTGAATAAGTACGTTTTTGTGTTGACTGTACTTCAGCAACTGTAATAGAAAGCAACGATGGATTCAGAATGATCCATTCACTTCGATCTGATGAAAGTCGAAATAATTCTGCCCAGAATCTATCAACAATCATTTCAAGACTGTTTAGATTGACAAAATAATGCAAAAAATAATAATGTATTTTTTAAAAACAGTAATTTATTGTAGATGCAGATGGAATAAAAGAATAAAAAGATGAATAATATTTTCAGAACTAATTAAATTTTAGAACAGAAAGAGAATATTTTTAACACAGAAATTACGAAAGTTGTAATGAAAATAAGTTTAGATTTGAATTGCTAATTTAAAAAGTTAAACAGAAATAATCGCTTTGAGTAGCAGTAGAAATAATGATTATTATAATAGTTATCAAAAAGAATTCATAATAATCATTGGTTTTTGCATTAGTAATTAATTATATTAACTTGGCGATGCTCAAAGTAATTTTTTATTTCCAACTGCAGTGCAGAAATGTAATTAACTTAGAGTAGAATAAAATGAAGAACCGAAATCTGAGAGCTTCTGGAAGCTTTCCGGAAAGTTAGACTAGATTTTAGGCCCGTTAGGAAGACAAGAAAGAGTAATAAGGAAGCAAGGCAGTGCAAAGCAATAACATCAATGAGTTTGCAAGGGCCTGCCTAGCTTAGACTGCCATTGCTACTGCTATAGGGTCGATTCCTACGGCAAGTTTACTATCTCAAGCACTCCTAAGCATTCTTAACTCTATCACTTGCATTAAGTACACGTAACATTACGTAACGTATACATATATGTAACAAATGTGATAAAGACTTGTACAGGCGGATTTATGTACAGTTACATCATTTCCAACTCACATATTTTAGTTATATCTTTTCATTCACAATGTTATTTACACTTATTCACGTAAGATACAAGTAATTTCATGCATAATAAGAACATATATTAAGATATTTATTATAATGTGCATATGAAACAATATAGATATATTTTCGATTTACTTTGCCCTTTCTCGTTTTCTAATTGAAACTTATTTTCATAAAACTAAAATGGGATAATAAGAAAATTTTTAGGTTAAAGGAAAAAATTTTGCAGTTATTAATTGATTTCAAAAGATGTTATTAAACGATTTTGGGGTCAACTGAGATTGAGGTCAAGGAAATGTTAATTAAAAGACAATATCTATTGACTGCTACTTTAATACTTTAATAAAAAGTGATCTACGACTTATAACTGATTTTTATGGATGATTTATGACGAAGGGCACAAGATATGACTTACAACTCATAAAAAAATTGTTTGCTTCCATTTTCACAAAAGGTAATTACGTGCCATTTATTACTGTGTTGTTTACTGGGTTTTTGCTTCATAAATTATACAAATCACTTCTGCCTTTACGCTTATGTGCGTGACACTTGTATTGTTGATTAAATTAATGGCTTGCTCATTTTTGGTTTATGCGCGTGACTTCTGGCGTTTGGAAAGTACTATCTTATTGTTTCAAACTTTTGATCTGGCAATAATTTACTAATTAAATTAATTGAGAAATTGAAAAGTTTGCTGAACTAACGAGAGTAGAATTCGTTTTTATATCATTTGATTATGAGAAAGTGAAAAAGTAATGAAAAATAATGAAAGTTATGGTGGAGAGTTTTACTTCTCAGAGAAAAAATATATTGAATAAAGCTTCTACAAGAGCGAAATATATTAAATGCTTCCACAAAAAGTAATTAAAAAGCTGAGAAAATAGCAAATCCAAAAGGAATTAAAAAATGAGAAAATATGCTAAGTTTAAAAGAATAAAAAGGTATTATTTTATTGTAATTCAAATTATTTGATAACTTTTTATTGTAATTTAATAATACCAATCAAACGATAAATAGTTGCTTAATTATTTTTCATCAAAGTTTTTTTCTGATTATTAAATCACAATAAAAAGTTGTCAAATAATGTGAAACTTATGCTAGAATCTAATATTTTAAAGCCTTAACGAGCACAATTAATATTTTGTACAGAATAAAATATTAATATTATAGTTGCAACAGTGAAAGAAAAAATAATAGTGGGATAAAAAAGCAAAAAAAGGTAAAATATTAACAAAAAAGCAATCAGCAATGAAATTATTGTACCAATAGTTATAATGAATAGCAAAAATAATATGGTAAAAGATAATATATGCTAATAAGCTAATAATTAGTTGAAAAATTTGCATATTCAATAAAAGCTTTTGCGGAAAAAAAATTACAAACTTATAAATTGTTCATTTTATTGTATTTCAGAACAAACAATTTCGTCAAAAACTTTTTCAGCTTTCTGATTAAAAAGTTTAATTTTAGATTGACAAATAACAATTTATTAAGCAGTTGTTTTAAAACTGATATGTACCATTAAGTTATATATAACTTAAGCTTTAATATGAACATGTTTTTAATATATAAAAGCAATTACTTATTAATACAGAAAACATTAAACAGAATATTTTGTTATCAAAATTTTGCAAAGTGTTTTTGAAAATTCTTAAAGTTAAGGCTAATCCTTTGAGTAAACAACACAAAGATGTATAAATAATATTGCATACATAATAATTGAATAATTAATAATATAACAAAAATTAAATAAAAATAATGTAGAGAAAACTGACTTTAATATTATTTTTGTTTCAATTTGATCGAAAATGTCAGCAATTTTTTTCGGTGTTATTGCTGTCGTAGCAATTGTTACTTTTGTATAATTATTACAGTTAGTGTCTTGAGTATCACTGAGGCAATAATGTCGAGTTCCACAAGGGCATGATAGACTACTTCCCATAACTTTTGAATATCACAACATATTCTATTAAAAGTTTATTTGATTACATTTCAGCAAATTCATGAATAAGTAGATAAATAATAGTCCAGTTAAAATATTATACAGAAATAACTTTATTATTTAGTCATAATACTGCAAGGCCATTATAAGCGTTGATTTCACGTTTCAGTAGCATTAGTCAGATTTGTACGTTCTCCTACTACACGTGAAACACATTTTCTAAATTGATTATTTGTGTAAATTAAAAACACGCAGTTCTTTTTCGTTTTTTTTGAATGGCAGTTGACAAAAAAAAATTGCAGAAATGGGAAAAGAATAAATATTAGTAATAAAAGCAGTAAGTGGTCAGCCTAAAAAAAATTTATACGTTCGGCCATAGTGAAATAAATCAACATGCCAACACCAAGTTTAAACCCTACCCATAACTCTTTGGCCAGAAATCAACAAAAAAAAGAGAGTTATTTTATTTTTATGCAAAATTTGCATATTATGCATGTTTGGTGCTGACGTGAAGTATTGTTGCTTGGCTGTCAATTAGCAACGAAAATGTTACAAAAGATATTAGCTGCTATCCAAAAAGCAGAAAAGATAAGCTTTCTTTCACTGTTATTTATTAAAATATGTACTGTAATGACAAATTTATTTCTCTGAGACTATAATTATAAATGAAAGCAAAATTTAAAACTTATTATTAGTATTAAAAATATTAATAAGAACTGAGAGTCATAATTCGTTGTTACCTTATCATAACAAGCTGATCTTTTAAAGCTTAATTGATACCAGAAAAATTGTCTAATTAAAGCACTATTATATAATACAAAGCATAAAAACTGTTAATGGATTACTGCGATCATCAAATTTTACCACAACTAAAATGTATGCTGTTTTTCAAATCAAACTAATTAAATAAGAAATTATTTATGGACTATTACATGCATAACATTAGTAATATTTATTCTGATCATGTAGTATTTGTAAAATAAATTTGTATATTATTTATTAATTAATTGCAATTTTGTTGATTAAAATTATAATCAAATTTTATCATGAAAATTGAATGAATTTACAAATTATATACAGAATTTAGTTGTTTTGTCTAAAATAACAGCAATTATTCACATTAATTTAAAAAATGATCAAGGGATTTGAACGAATTGAGTTAAAGAACAAATAACAATCAGAAACTGAAATAATTCAAATAAACACTGCTTACTTTACAAATTTTTATCATTAATATTTTCTTATGCGTCTAAAACAATGTTTTCTCGTCTGTTCAAGCAGTTATTCGTAACATTAAAGTATCTGGATAAATTGAATGCAAAAAATAAATCTGAAACTTATTCTACCTTTATAATTAAAAGTACTGTATTTTATTTCATTTCAGTAATAATTATATGAAAGCAATTACAGAAGTCAACACATCAAATAGTCAATTTTGTGCTTCAGTTGCACAAGTTTATAATATTAATTATCATATAAATAATGCCATGATAAAGTCATAGCTAAATTGTATTTGAACTAAACAACCAAGTTGATAGGTCAAAAGTCACTTCCAAAACATTTTAATTTTGCTCCCAATGCATATCTCTCACGATTTTTTTCAGCTCTCATGATCATATCAAATATACATTTTTCATGCTTATATGCAATTAAAAATTAACGGCTTTTATTTGGTTGTGATCATTAATAATAATAATTTCTTAAAGTTAACTTGCATCGTAATAGAAAAATAAAGAATAAACACAGCGGACAATAAAATTTCATTTATTTTAAGTGAATCAAATTTTGATGAATAAATAAATATTTAAAAGATTGTTGCAGTTAAAATATAATTACTTAAAATGTATTTTAATTATTTAAAAGTAAGCAGAACGAAGGAAAAAAACTGTTTGGGAGCAGAAAATGTTGCTCAAAACAAAACTTTTGACAATGAAACTTTTAGAAACAAAAAATTATCACATATTTGCTGAGAACTGTGGAACAAATTCAAGTAAAGAACATACTAATTGTTCATGCTGGATTTACGTACTAAATAATTGTCCCGACTTGTAATCCTTTTTTATTAAAATAAATTTTTCACGCAAATAAATTAATCATTAATGCTTACTTGTCACGTGAAGTTTAAATTCATTACAACAATAAATCAAATATTTTTCGAGGAGATTTATGTGATGGTATTACTGAATTAACGTTACATGAATAATTTTTGTTGAGCAAAAAAGCTAAACAAACTGAATGAACGTTTGATGACTGACTGATTAAATGCTTTAGTTTTGAATAAAATGAGTTCATTTTCAATAGACCTTTATATTTTATTATTATTTTCGTATAAAGTAAAATAATTATAAAATTGATCCAAAATCAATCAAATTAAATATTAAAATTAATCTAAAATCCTTTAAAGATCAAGCATCCTGAATAAAATATGCTGTGCTTACTGAAGTTGCACGAGTGCTTTGTTTTGCTCATATCACTTCAGTGATTTGATATTTTTGAGTAGATTCTGAATAATTTTGCATTTTATTCTATCTTTTTCAAACTTTAACTAATAAGCCATTTATTACTAACTCATCAAAAATGGAAAATATGCAATAATTATTTTCTTTTTGCCATTAATTTAAAACTTTATGAACAAACACAACTTAGAAAAATATGTTTGTGATAAAAGGAATTGCTTGTTGTATGAAATTATTTTGAGATTATAGCTAGCAAGGAATTTTTTATTATTTATAATTAAGTAATTTGCAATAAAAATTCAAAGTAATAAAATAATTAAATGTTTGCATACTTTATAATATTTCACTATAAGTTTGTGAAATGAATTCTAAGTCTTGAAATATTATATTTATATTATTATTTGGTTACTAAGTTAATTCGTACCCAAGTTTTTGCACTTTGGAATGAATGTTAAGGAATGATGCAAATTTGTATAAATTTATTTTTATATCAACTGTATGAATCAGTCAGCAGTATTTAAAATAAATCTTCAAAAATAAATTAAATCATTGTTAGTTCTCAGTCTTGAATTGATTTAGCCTAAAAGTATTGCCACTACACTTTTTAACTGTAAATTAAAGTTGCATTTATCATTCAAACTCATTAAATTTGCATAATAAATGGCGGGATTCTTTTTAAAATTAAATAATTAATTAAATTTTAAACTGATCAGCAAAATAAAAAATAAATTTATTTCAGCATTTTAAAGTTTTCATATTTTATTTTTATACACAAAATGAAAGAAATATAAAATAATAACAATGAAATTAGCTTCTCTAATATTTAAAACTTGCATATTTTGCTTAAAAAATTTAGGATATTGGTTTTTTGGCGTAGTATTCGCATTCTTTCTAATTATTTGAAAAATTAATAAACTGCTAAATGTATTGCAACAAAACTATACTATTATGATAGCAAGAACTTTATAATAGAAAATTTCTGAGAAAAAACAAAGTATTTTCATATTATGAGCTTAACGATGCTTATTTATTATAAGTGTTATATTAATTTAAAAAGTCCGTAAAAATTTAATGACTTTTGACAAACATTTTCGGTTATGCGAGTGATTTTCAAGCAATTAGCTTCGAAGATAAAATAATGTAACAGACAGTATTTGCTGAGAATAAATTTTTGTAATAGACATTTCTAATCAAAAAAGTAGTATGAAATTACCATTACAATAAAAACAATAATTCTTATTTTCACTTCTGATATTTTATTATTATTATTATTATTATTATTGGTATTTGCAGTATTATTAGTATTAGTATTAATATTAGTAATTGTATTATTATGATTCCGATGCATAAAAATAACAATTGCAAGATATATACACTCAACAGTATTTACCATACATACTACGACTAAAAAAATTTGAATACCATCATTATAATATTATGAACATAATATATAGCTTCAGTCTTGCAATTGCTATTTTTATAGTATGCAACAATTATAGGAATATTTTCCAAGCTTATACTTATCATTATCACGATTATTATTGTTGATTTCTGAAACCTTTTCTTGTTATCACACTGTTACTGTAATTAGATTTACTGTAATGAAATCTCTCTAAATCTTTACTAGAATGAATGTAAAATGCGTTTGAAAAGGTTTTGAATTTGAATTTATTTTTTATTATTTGCTTCTTTTGTACGTTTTTAGCTGATAAATCGACAAGAGCAAAAAAAATATTAAATAAAAAAATAAATCTTTTGAATATATATTTTAGTTAGTTTTCATCAGTATTATCATCGAAGAAATGATAATTTATTCCACCAATTTAGCATATCAAACACTTTTAATCTTTTGCTTAGCAAATGAATCAAAGTAAGAACTTATTTACTTATAATAAATTACCACTCTTTTCACACTATTTATCCGTTTTAACACTCTTTCATTCCCAAAACAAAATATTTCTTCTGCATTCGATACTACGTGAATTTCGTTTGCGATTATTAGCAAACTATTCTTCGATATTCAGAAATAAAATTATTTCTATTATTAACTGATTTTAAGCTTTTAAAATGTTCGCTTGCCATTTCGAAAATTTTAATCCTTTTTAGGCTAAGCGATATTTTTGATAATAAATTTAAATTATAGCAATTTTAAAAAATTTTTTCAACAGTTTACTTGCTTGTTGCATTAATTTTTATCATTTTTATTTTATATTATTTCTGTTACGTTAAGTTATACTTAGTTTTATAAATTAAGCCATTTCTATTTTCAGTTTGTCATTACTGATAGAATTCTTTGCATTTATATATTTTTACTCAAAAAGTATATCAAGTATGATTCCAAAGTTCACCAAAAATTATGCCGGATTTTGCATATGCTCATAATTCTAAGCATATTTTCATTCTGAAATTAATTTTAGTAATATTAAAAATAAAAATTTTCCTAATAATGCTTACAATATATAATTTACTAATTATTCCATGTTCAATAAATGATAAATTTCTTTTTTGAACTTCAAAAAAGATACACTTATTTTAACAAACTTTGGCCTTAAAGTAAGAAAATAATGATAATATTTAATTTAAATCAAAACAGATCTTATTATCCATCAAGTAAAAGCTTTAAACTTGAAAAAAATTTGCATTTTATAATTGGACAAATCGAGAATGTTCAGTTCTCCATGCGATATCATATATCAGCAAACAATTCAATCAGAAAACATTTTCATTATTAATTTTTCATTATTACTTGAAAACAAAACTACCTTTAGTTATTTTTTTGTAATTTCATCTATTTTTACAGCTAAAAAATTTCAAGAAGAGCACTTTTTCAGAATAATTTGCGTCAGAAAAATTCATAAAACTGAATCATTAAGTCGTCAAAAGTGTTTTCAAGTTGTAATTTGAAAGATATTTAATTTGTCTATTTATTTGCATAAAAATTTTTTACTTTTCTCACTGTTTGAACTATATATTCGCTAGACTTTCAATGTCAAAAAGTATTAACTTAATTCATTTTTTATGCGCACTCATAGAATTTGTATATGAAAATGAATGTTGATTTTTGTAAGTACTATTTTTTCACAAATTATTAAGTTTTTAATAAATTTTTAATTTTGCTTTCGGAACATTTAATTTATTTAATATTTTTTCAAAATTAAAAATAAGAGAAGTTAGTTTTTTTAAGAAATATAACTTAAAAATGTATTAATTTTAATAAATTTTGAACCAAAATATACTTGTTTTTTGTAGTAATTAATTTTTGTGGCAAAGTTTATAAATTCTTTTATTATTATTCAGTTATTTTTCAATCACATTTCTCTCTTTAATATATTGCACACAAAAATTTAACTTTAAAATTACTTTAACATTCTTAAAACTAAATGATAATAACAAGCTGGGGAAATAAAGGATATTCATGACGTGTGGTACTTATTAATTTGACCCAATTAATTAAACTTTGGTAACAAGAAAAATTGAATTCTAGCTATTGTGATAACGGAAGTGAGAACTTTAAAATAATATTTCTGAACTGTTTGAAGTGAACGATGACTGAGTATGGCAGTATTAATAAATATATCTCACCTCATGTTGTCATATTGCACCTTAACACCTCTGAGCCTCCAATAAGAGTAATTTGTAAAGAATCTAACTGTGAACAAGGTAAGTAAGTGCTTCAATATTTGAGGAAACAAGCAAAGCGACAAGTGTTATCAAAAACTAAAATATAACTTTTATTAGTAACATTCTTCCAATTTAAGTTTGAAAAATTATTTTCTCAAAATAAAATATAATTCAAAATAATTTATTACATTTTAGTTTTGTGAATAAATTGGTTAGTTCAAATTTGTACACTGTCAAGTACTATTTTTAAACTAATTCTTTACAAATTTTTATTGTAATTCAAATTTTCCATGTAAATTTTTAATAATTTTTTACTTGGTCAACGATGCAATGTTCAAGATAAAACAGAATTACCCAAAAATAGGACTACTACAGTAGAAGACAGCAATACTGACACAAATAAAAGAAGTAATTTTATCATTTAACCTGTATTTTATTACTCAAATTTTCAAAAAGTCAAAAATCAAAATTTTAACTTTTGAAATTTTATTGCATTTAATTTGAAATATCAAAAATTTTTTTAAATGGAATAATCTTTTACAACTTTGAGATTAGCAAGTTTTGTATTTTAGCACTTCTCGCATTCTCAGAAGGACTGTCATTGCCAATTTCCAACAAACTTTCAACTACCAAACTAAGTTCTAAAAACTTTATGCGGCGTGCGAGTCATTCAATTTTGCAACGTGAAAAGTGGGCTAATAAAATGGAATTCTTGCTAGCAGTCATTGGTTATGCGGTCGATCTGGGCAATATCTGGCGATTTCCTTCTGTATGCTACAGACATGGTGGAGGTATATAATGTAGTTATTGACTTTTTAATCCATACAAGAAATCAGTAGCTAATCAGAAATAGATTAAACATATCTGAAATTGATGATGATATTAAAAATTGACAAAAAGCGTACAAATGTAAAATTCAGAAATCATCTTGTCAGTCAAGACAATATTCTTTCAATGTATAAAAAACTTTCCTGTATATTTTGAACTAATTTATGCTATATATTTAAATATAAAAAATATGTGTAATATATATTTTACAGCAACTGACGTGCAGAAAGCACTTTTTTGAGATATTTGTTTGAATTTTAAGTTTTAAATTTGTGAATTAGTCTTTTTATACAATTGAGTTGCACATTAAATTATAAATTTTATTAGTATTTTTCTTTTAAACATAAATATTTTGACACTAACATTTAAATTTAAAAATAGGATTGAAATGAATTAGCAACTAGTTTGTTTTAAATATAATATTATAGCCAAAAGTTAATAAAAAATGTAATCTATGCGTAGTTGCCCGTATTTGTGTGTTTGCGAATGCCTGCGTGTAATACTAACTTCAATTTTCTTAGGTGCTTTCTTAATTCCATATGTAATTATGCTTGTTATTGGTGGCTTACCAATGTTTTACATGGAATTAGCTCTTGGTCAATTTCACCGGTCAGGTTGTATAAGTATTTGGAAAAAAATTTGCCCTATGTTTAAAGGTTAAAATTTAGTACTTAAATTTCTATTTATAATTTTAAATTGTTCTAATCTTAACTTTACAAAAATTTCAATTTCTTTTCATATTTTTTATTCAAAATTGTAATTTTTTATTGAATAATTTCAAAACTTCCACAAGTGTATTTTTACATTAAATCAACTCTTTTTTTTCCTCCATTTCAACCAAATTTAAAATTACTACAGGCATTGGCTACGGTATTTGCTTTATATGCACATTTATTGCATGTTTTTATAATGCTGTCATTGCGCACTCACTGTACTTTGTGTACAGTTCATTGCAAGTAATAAATTTTTTGATACTTATTCATTTAATACTTTAATTATTTTTATCTATGATTAAATACAAATTTTTTTCAGCAATTTTTTTACTTTTTTAGGTCAAATTATATGATAGCTTTGATAGACCGATTTCTAAGAACTAAGAAATTAACAGTATTCTAAAAAAGAATCATACCTGACATCATGTCAAGAAGTGCTTTCACTTTGAAAAAAATGAATCTGCTTTTTATTAAAAAAAAAAGGAAACTGATTCGCATTCTAATATAAAATTAAGAAAAATGCATTAAATTGACGTCATCTTGCATACTTATAAACAAACATTAGTAATAGGGTATTGTGTAACTTCTGAATATTTCAGTTTGCTTTCATAGAATTCTTTCTAACTGAAATTTATGATTACAATTTAATTAATTGTAAAGTTTAAATTTGTCAGAGAGAAGTGCCGTGGAAAAGTTGCAATAACTCATGGAATACTTTATTATGTACGAGCAGTTTGAATAGAACCTTCGAAAATAATCCAAATATCAGTGTTAATGCGAAATTAAGAACGCCTTCAGAAGAATTTTTTTTGTTGGTTCCATTGAGAAATTATTTATTTTACTGCTTGTTAATTACTATTAAAAATGCATATTTTTTTTGAAAAATTTTGATAAAATAGAAAATAAAACAAAAAATTTTTGCTGAAATGATTTTGAAGTTTTAAACACTTTTTGTGATAAATTTTATCAAAATTATCATCAATAAGTATAACCATAAAGATAGTTCATGGAGGGGTCATTGGATTTAAATGCATCGAATTATTTTATTTGACCTCTCAGAAAACATTTGCACAACATCTTTATAGATACAAATAAATATGCATGAAGAACATTTTGAAATAATGACTTAAACAGAAACTTTCATTCATTCTATCGTGCACAATTTTATCTAGATCTTTTAATTATGTTTTGATCTGCTATATCATTGATCTATAAATCAATTTTAAAAATCAAAAAAAAAGTCAAACATAATGAATGAAATTGCAGATTTCATGTGCTAGAAAAAAATTATTCCAACGGTCTTGATGATCTCGGTGGTATTAAGCCATCATTGGCTTTGTGCCTAGTTATTGTTTTTATCCTTGTTTATTTTGCTCTCTGGAAAGGACCAAGTAGTACTGGAAAAGTTTGTTATATTGATTGATCAGCTTCAATCACTGATATTTGATCATTTTGTGAAAAAGAAATATGAGTTACAAAATTGAAAAATTGCACTACACAACTCAAATGAATGATTTTTCCAAAAAATATAATTGAATAAATTGAAAAAAAATTTTACATGCCAACAATATGATCCACGATATCTTTCCAATTACTAATCAAAGTACAATAATTGCAAATTAAATTTATCCATAAATTATAATTTCAGTTATTGTAGCCATATTTTTACATTTAAATAAAAGATTAAATAATATATAGAGTTAAAAGTGTACCAAATGATTTCAAGTAATACAGAAAATTTTACGAAAAATGTGATACACTGCAAATACGATTTATTGCCATGAAGAAAAATAATCTAAGTTACTGTTTTAAAGTTTGTTTGGGTAACTGCTACAGCCCCATATTTCATTCTATCGGTGCTATTTATTCGCGGGATAACTCTACCGGGAGCATCTACTGGAATATATTACTATCTCATGCCCGACTTCTCAATGCTTTTGGATGTGAGTGTCTGGACAGCAGCTGCCACACAAATATTTTTTTCCCTTGGCCCTGGGTTTGGAGTACTGCTAGCATTGAGCAGTTACAATGATTTCCACAATAATTGTTGCCGGTACTTATCAGTTCTATTTTTGTGTAATATTAATTATTCATAAATTATAAGATAATTTTATTTTTGAGAAGTTTTGATGAATTTTTAAGCTATTTGTTGTCTGCAAGATTTTATCAATGACAGCAAAACATAATATTTTTGCATTGAATTAGAAGAAAATAACGCCACAGTGAATGTATACTTTGGTAGGGGAAGATGAATTAGTATTATTTTTCGAGCTTAACAGGATTTTATCAGATTTATTAATAATTTCTATAAAAGTTGAGATGCGATTATCCGATTAAGCAGTTATCATTTAGTTGTGTATTAATCAGATATATTTTATTCGTCTTAGCTGACATTGACGAATTTATATTTAAAGCTGTAATTTATAATTTTTAGTTTTATCTTTTATTTTTTTAATAAATTAAAGTAGTAATTATTTCCAGAGATGCATTAGTCACATCATTTATTAATTGTGCGACTTCATTCTTTGCTGGTTTTGTGATATTCGCAACTCTTGGTTATATGTCAACTTTAACAAATATACCAGTAAATGAAGTAATTGGCGATAATGATGCAAGTCTAATATTCGTTGTTTATCCTCAAGCAATTGCCACGATGTCATATGCAAATTTCTGGTCTATTGTGTTTTTTATCATGCTTATCACTCTTGGTATTGACAGTACAGTATGTTATGCATATTCTTACAAATTACAGTATTGTTAAAAATAATTATTATGGTGTAAAAAATTAACATATTGGTAATTCCACAAGCAATAATAAATTATGACAACTTATGAAGATTTATTAAAGCAATATTTTGGCATTAAAAAATGTATAGCAATCATTAATATTTATTTTCAATTATTAAATCAAAAATCATCAAACTATTTATATAATATGATAATTCTTTTCAGTTCAGTGGTGTCGAGGCATTGATCACTGGATTCTGTGATGAATATCCACATGCTTTAGCACGTAATCGCGAAATCTTTGTAGCTGTTGTGCTTGTCATTTATTATTTTGGCAGTTTACCAGCAGTTACTTATGTAAGTTCTTTTTTTTAAAAAAAAAAGTTCATGGCGGTAAAGTGTGAAGTTTCTTTTTTAATAAATGCACAATATTAATAATAAAACAATAATATAATTTAGTAGAAAAAGTTTGGCATTAGTACTGACTAAATGATGAAAATTTGATCAAATTGCAGTAATTACTAATGAATTATTAATTTGTAAGCAATGTATACTTCATTATAAACTATCAAAAAATTTTACAAAAAATTTTTGCTCTGATCAATCAATAATATTGTATTCTGACTAAATTAGCTGCAGTTTTTTTAAAGGGTGGCATATATGTGATAGCATTCCTTGATGAATACGGTGTTTCCTTATCTGTACTATTTATTGTGATGTGTGAAATGATAGCCGTCTGTTGGTTTTATGGAATTCAGCAGTTCAGTGAAGATATCCATCAAATGCTTGGATTCTATCCGAAATATTATTGGAAAATGTGTTGGATGTGCTGCCCAATTTTCATAACTGTCAGTTTCATATAATTATTGCAATCTGAATATTATTTCTTCATTTTTCAATTCTTTTAATGCAGTTTTTTGTAAATTAAATAATATTTTCAATTTTTTTTAGACTATTTTTGTATTAAGCGTTTATAAAACATCATTTGAACCGATGAGGGATGGATCGTATACTTACCCTAAATGGAGTGCTTACTTTGGATGGTTTCTTCGATTGACATCAATTATGAGCATACCAACTTTCGCTATTTATTATTTGTGTATCACAAAAGGAACACTAAAGGAAGTGAAAATTACGAGTTATTTTTACGTTTTTAAAAATCCAATTTTTGATTATTTAACAGTTGTCTTTAAATGATACTTTTATTACTGAATAAAGTATCTTCAGCTACTAACTGAGCTTTGAAATTTTCAAAACTATCTCCTATATTTTTAAATAAAAATCAAAATTAAACAAAATTTCAAATTTTAATTGGCCAAATTCATTTCAGTCCTTTACAAAAACATTTTGTTTTAATAGATCAATACTGATATGTGTATCAAGTCAGACCTAGAACTTGAATCTTGAAGTATTGGGTTTAAAGTTCATTTAACTTAAGAAAATAATATATTAGCTAATACAAAATTCTTTTATGCATGAAAACTTTATTTAAAGTAACATTTGCAGCAAAATCTTAAAAATATAAGTTAATATTTAGCGTTGGAAGCTGGGAATAAAAGCAAAACATCCGAAGATGTCATCAACGACGCCAATAACAGTTGAAGACCCCCTCAATTCGATCAAAAATACAGTCGCTTATGAACAAACTTTTGCTGACACGAACAGTGATACTACACATTTATAACAATATTATAATTTATGAAAATTATAATTATTGTAATTTTGAACATTCTCTAGCGATTATGTTTCATTTTTACCAAAAGATCTTTTTATCGCATTTACTATTTCATTTATTGAAAAAGCATTCGCTACTGTCATTACTAGCAATAATAACAATAAGAATAATTATCAATTATAATATTAACAACAAGAATGATAATCGTTTTCAATTATCTAAACTAAACTATATTTCTTTTTGAAAAAAGTCAGTAAGTAAAATAATTTTCAATTCATAAAATAAGTGTGTTTTCTTCTCGCTTTTTTATTTTTGTTACTATCAAATTTTTTTTAAATCTCACAGCTAATATATCGAAGATTGTAGTTTGCTTTATAACTAAAAATTGCTGAAGATTATTGCTTCCTTGCTGACTTAAGACTCAAACTATTGCTATATTCTGGCACATCTTCAAAGAGTTGTTTGAAATTCTGAATTTTCGGCTGATTATTAGTTAGAATAAAAATAAGCTAAGCAATAAAAAGTTCTATATCTGATTTACTCAGGCTTTCTACAATTTTAGCATCAAAGATGACGTTAATACCTTCTATCACGGAGATATTGTTTAGCTTTTGTATAAATTACTTTCAAATACTTTTCTAATATTTAAAATTTGCAATTTAGCTTCATCTCATTATTCAAAATAGAAAACATTGCGCTAATATTTGCATATTTTATGCTTTATTAAAGTGTATGAGTTTCTTCCGCAACTGAATAAATATTGAACTAATTTTTGTGGCTGAGGTATGGTCTCTCGTGTAAATACATTTACTCCTTCAAAAAAGTACCAAAAAATAAGATAATATAAAGTAACAAGGCAATATTTATTGTAATGATAATATGAATAATAGTGCTAAAGTATTTTTTTCAAAGCTAATGAAAGTAGAAGCAAAATTCTGTTCTGATAAAATTGCTGAAGATTTTTAAGATAGTAATTTATAAGATTAATGCAAGTCAAGATAGTTTGAAAAAATATGAATTATGAGTCTGAGATGTCTTTCCAACATCAGATTTCCTAAGCCAAAATTAAGCTCTAATAGTGCTAGACACTTGTACAAGCTTAGTATCATCATTATGCAACAGACATTAGTTGACCTTGTTTTT